GCACCGACAACACAGCGGTGGTCTCTTACATCAACCACCAGGGAGGTCTGCGCTCACGCCGTTTGTACAAACTAGCATACCACATCCTTGTGTGGTCCCAGGGCAAACTTCTCTCGCTGAGAGCAGTTTACATCCCTGGGCATCTCAATTTGGGAGCAGACATCCTGTCGAGGCAGGGAGGGACCGAGGCCCGGGGAATGGATGCTTCACGATCACATTCTAGAGTTATTATTATTATGCATAAAAAAAACTTTATGCAACATTGAATGTTGAGATAAAAAACAAAAAAAAATCCAACCATCAACGCATTTCAAAATTGTTACTTTTTTGTAAAATATAACATCACATTTTTATATTAGTGCTACCAGTATTACAACATCAATAATGTAAATTTTTTGTAACATTTGAATTTTTAATTTAGTGCAATATTTTGTCATTGCAACATTTTAGTGTAATTTTCACTAACAATTGCAATTAAAGAAATACTCTTTGAGAGAAGCAGCCAATCAGCAGAAGTTAAAAGCAGATCGTAAGTGTATTTATTTCTTGTCTCATTAGTGTTTAGCGCAGTTGTCGTTGCTAGAAAACGCTTGTTTGTTTACTGTGTGGAGACGTGCAGAAGTTGCGTTTGGTCTCGTACTCTACCGCATACTTTGTCAGTGTCGTGCGCTTGCTTAGACCTTTGTTGTGATAAACAGTAAAGTGTTTTCAGCTGAATTCAATTTCCGTTTTGTCCGACGGGTATAAAAAAGGTTAGTATACCGCGGCAGCCCTCCTGTTAAGCCCTCCTCGTGTGAAGACCGAAGAGTGTAAAGACCGTCGACTCTACCGTGTGACTCCACCGAGCAGGGACACCGGCAAAGGATATAAGGATCACTTTTGATTTTCCTACTACTTGTTTCACTTCTGTTTCAGTTTTTATAACCAAATCTATTTATATTGTAAACCTAAGTTCACTGTTATCCCACAGGCCACTATTGTGACCATGAACATGTTTACTCATTCTATCACCACACTCAACAAAACTGAATATATGTGAATGCATATATTAATACTAGACACCTTAAAGATGTGTACCAAAAATCTTTGTCATATCTTTATGTTAACATACTTTACTAGCCTTTTGTTTTGGAGCTTTGATGCAGCCATTCTTCTCAAGGTGCAAACAGGAAATAAACTGCTCTGGTCATGTGACAGTTTGCACTAATCATGGGAAACT